CCAGGATAATTCTCAAAATTTTCTTCTCACATCAAGTATACTTCCTATTAGTCATACTAGTAGACTCCTTCTAGGCCTGACTGAGCTGATCACGTCGGTGTTAGAATTCAATACTGGGGCCACACTAGTCAAAGTATTAAATTTTAAATATCTTGAAAGAAAGAAAAGTTTTCCATTCAAATTAATCAATTTGTGGAGGCAATTAGGTAAGAAAAAAAAAAAGACATCCAGATTGAAAAGGAAGTAGAACTATCTCTATTAGCAATGATATGATCCTGTATATAAAAAATCCTAAGGAATTCACAAAAACACTATTAGAACTAATAAATGTTCGGCAAGGTGGCAAGATATAAAATCAATATAAAAATCTCTTGTATTTCTATACACTAGCAATGAACAAATCAAAAATGAAATTAAGAAAATTCTATTTGCAATAGCATCAAAAAGAATAATATACTTAGGAATAAATTTAACAAAAGAAGTGCAAAACTTGTATAACGAAAACTATAAAACATCGCTGAAAGAAATTAGAAACACAAGTAAATGGAAAGACATCTCATGGATCAGAAAGCTTAATGTTGTTAAGATGGCAATATTCCCCTAATTGATCCATAGATTCAACACAATCCCTATCAAAATCTCAGCTGCATTTTTGGCAGAAATTAACAAGTTGAACCTCAAATTTATATGGAAATGCAAGGGACCCAGCATAGCAAGAACAATGAAAAAAAGGAAGAACAAAGTTGGAGGACTCACACTTCCTGATTTCAAAGCCTGCTACAAAACTATAGTAATCAAGACAGTGTGGTATGCATAAGGATAGACATATAGATAAACAGAATAGAATTGAGAGGCCAGAAATAAACCCTTACATGTATGGTCAACTGATTTTCAAAAAGAGTGACAAGACAATTCAATGGGGAGAGAATAGTTTTTCTTTTTTTGCTGAGTAAGATTAGTCCTGAGCTAACACCTGTTGCCAATCTTCTTCTTTTTTCACTTGAGGAAGATTAGCCCTGAGCTAATATCCATGACAACCTTCCTCTATTTTATATGTGGGTCACCACCACAGCATGGCTGATGAGTGGTGTAGGTCTGCACCTGGGATCTGAACCTGCGAAACCACGTTGCTGAAGCAGAGCATGCCAAACTTAACTGCTAGGCTACAAGAACAGTCTTTCAACCAATGGTGCTGGCACAATTGAATATCCACATGCAAAAAATGTAGTTGAACCCCTACTTCCCACTATATACAAAAATCAACTCAAAATGAATCATAGGACTAAATTTAAGGGGCAAAACTATAAAACTCCTAGAAGAAAATGTAAGAGTAAATCTTTGTGACTTGGATTAGGCAATACTTCCTTAGATATAATGTCAAATGCACAAGCAGCATAAAAAAAATAGATAAACTGGACTTCATCAAATTAAAAGCTCTTGTGCTTCGAAAGGCACCATCAAGAAATGGACAGACAACTTACACAATGGGAGAAGATATCTGCATATCATATATCTGGCAAGGAACTTGTATCCAAACTCTGAGAAATGAACAATAAAAAGACAAAGAATCCAATTAAAAATAGGCAAAAGATTTGAATAGGCATTTTTCCAAAGGAGATATACAAATGGCTAATAAGCACATGAAAAGATGCTCAACATCTTTAGTCATTAGGGAAATGCAAACCAAAACCACAGTAAAACATCACTTCACACACACTAGGATGGCTTAAATGAAAAAGGCAGACAATGAGAAGTGTTTACTAGGATGTGGAGAAATTGCCTCCTCCCCTATATTGTTGGTAGGAATGTAAAATGGTACAGCCACTTTGGAAAACAGTTTGGCAATTTCTCAAGAGTTAAATATTAAAGTTCCATATGCCTCAGCAATGCCACTCTAAGGTATATGGTCATGTGTCACTTAATGAAGGGGATATACTCTGAGAAATGCATCATTAGGAGATTTCGTCATTGTGTGAAGATCATAGAGTGTACTTACACAAATGTAGACGGTATAGCCTACTACACACCTAGGCTATATGGTACTAATCTTATGAGACCACCAACGTATATGAGGTCGATCATTGACAAAAATGTTACGTGGTACATGACTGTATACCCAAAAGGACTGAAAAGATATGTCCACACAAAAACTTGCACATGAATGTTCATAGCAGCATCACTCATAATAGCCAAAAAGTGGAAAAGCCAAATATCAACTGATAAATGAATAAACAAACATGGCATACGCATAAAATGGATTATTATTCAGGCATAAAAAGGAATGAAATGCTACAACAGAGATGGAACTTGTAAACATTATGCTAAGTGAAAGAAGTAAGACACAAAAGGCTACATATTGTTTGAGTCCATTTAAATGAAATATCCAGAATAGGCTAATCCATAGAGACAAAAAGTAGGTTAGTGGTTGCCATAAGTTTGGGGGGAGGGGAGAATGGGGAGTGATTTAATGGGTATGGAGTTTCTTTTGGAGTGATGAAAATGATCTAAAATTAGATAGTGGTGATGGTTGCACAAGTCTGTGATTATACTAAAAAAGGCTGAATTCTATATTGTGTGAATTAAATATTGGTAAAGTCATTATGAAAAATAGTCACTCTTATGGGTTTCTGGGATCTGGGAAAAAATCTGTTTGTGGAATTAGTAGGCGTACAACACTTTTGAGGAAACTTGTTTTCACATCTTCTTAAGCTACAAATATCAAGTGGAGAGAATGTTGATTATTAGAACCCTTTCACTATGACCATCTGTCTCCTTTCTAAATGATGTCTCTGAAGAACACTCCATTCCCACTGTAAACTCACTTTGAAATGGGGCAGACTGTCTACGCCTTCAATAATTTTATACCATATTAAACTGAGATGATCACATTCACAAATATGAGCCATGGATTATAGCGATCACGTGTATTGTTAGAGATCAAATTTTATTGGTTTGAATTTTGACACTGAGGTCACACCTCTCTGCACCCCTGGGAAGCAATGCCCTTGTGCTCTTATCCCCTCACCAAGGATAAAGCTCATTCCCCCTTTCAGCCCTTTGAAGCGACTGCTCTGTCAGTCTCTTTAGCTGTAAAATGGAACAGTAGTAACTCAGAGGGATCCTGTGCAGCAGAGACACACGCCAGGCTTTGATTTTGTAATCTGCAGTGAGCAGCTATAAAAAGGGTCCCTGAAATAACCCAAATGGTTTCTGGGAACTGTCTTATCCTAAAAGCCTCTTCAATGAAGAGGACGGGTGAGGGAAAGTCTCCTGCTGTCCCTCCAAACTTTGATCCCCTCCCTCCTTTCATTATCCCCTGGTTTTACCAGAAAGCACTATTTTTCAGGGATTGTACTTTGCTGAGTGGCTAGGTTCTTAAGGTCCACTTGTGCCTGAAGTTCCCAAGCTGATTTTCATGTTCTGGTTTTATTTCTACAGAAAGATAAAAAGATGGAAAAGAAATAGTTTTTTGGATCTATAGGAGGACAGATTTTACCTAACAGAAGCTGGTAGCAGAGAAGTTAGGGGGAAAATGAAGTGGCATGCTTCTCACAGACTTGCTCTGGTTCTGTTTTTGGCTGCCTAGTATTGGTTGCAGTCAAGCGAAGCAGGGTTGTAGAATAAATCTGTAAGGTTAGTTTACTAGTTGTATTCCAATTATTTGCACAACCAAAGAAAAAATCACAGTTAGCTGGAATAAGAACATTTGTTTCAGAAATATTTTCAAAAGTGAAAAATAAGCAAAAATACTATAGATCACTCTCATCCTAAATCACCACAAAACAAACCCAATTTCACCAGGTTAAGTGATTTACTGGTTTTTATGTACAGGCAAACACCCACGCACACACACAAGCATGAGAAATAGAGGAAAGCACTGCTTTATCTTTGGGTGTTTCTGGAGGAGAGGCCATTGCTTTTATAAGACTTAGTACATGTTTATGCAGCATAGCATGGAGCACACAGGCAGCAGTTCTAGACTCAGACAACCTAGGTTCAAGTTGTGACTCCCCAGCTAACTAGCTGCCGTTCTTGAACAAACTGCATATCCATTCTGAACTTCAGTTTCCTCATCTGAAAAATGGGGATAATGATAGTCTCTACCTCTCAGGGTCATTGTGAGGACTGAATGAAATACTTTATGGAAAAAGACTTGGCATAGTAACTGGCACATGGCAAATGTTTAAGAAATATTAGTTATTTCTATTCTGTTGATGATGATGTGTATGTCTATTATCTGTTCTAGATAACAATCCACTCTAAAGTACTTAGAACATAATTGAACCAAAGCTTTACATTGTAACACACACAGAATACTTAGGACACAAAAAGTAAAGAAAATCTTTAATCTTTTAAAAAAATGGAATATAAGTGTCATTTGTTCTGCGTAGCTTCATTTGTTCTCTAGTTTCTAAGTACAGCTATGGGGGAATTGAAGGAAGAAAAGTACTAACACAGGAAGGAAAAAAATCAATCTGATGGACATGAATACAGCCACCAAGCAAGCCTAGGGATTGACTCAATGACACTGCTTTACAGTTAACCTTCACTCATCTCATTCATTATTTGGGGAATTGCTGCAAAGAGACCAGAAACTGAATAGAATAATGATGTTTTTATGGCTCCTAATGTAGATTGTTATTGAAAATCTGTCAATTTTACTGGCAAGCCTTTGGCTCAAAAATAAGATCTTCATTTATAATTTGCAGGCAGTGATAACTAAAATTATGAGAAGTAACCGGGAAATAAAAAATAACTATTATGATAATTATCTTTCTCATTAAAAACATGAGGCATTCTATTATCGTTGGGATGTGCAATACACTCTTTTAACAGCTGCTGTTACTGAGCTAAAATACATCTGAATAGGAAAGAAAATCCATTACTGATCACCCAAATGATGAAAAATAGATATTGCTGAAAATGTGTGCGCAGTGGAACAGAACAGAACACAGCAGGAAGTACTGCCTGCATATGCAAACCAGCGTAGAACCACTTACAGATGCTTCAGGAATCCGTTTTAACTTTTCCCCTAAGATTTCCTTTAGGGAGGTTTTGTTTGTTGAAGCTGGCACTTGTTGGGCTGGTGGGTCCTCTGCTTTGATAATGGGAGCTGGAGTTTTCCGAGAGGATTCACTCCTTCTTCCAGTGGGAGAAAGGCACGGTGTAGGCACCAAACTCTTTTGAAAGTCGTTTCTATCTATCTGCTTTGCCAAGGAAGTCTGGCTTTCTGACGCTCCTGCTTCTGGGGAGGCACTTTTTAGATAGCCTTTACTTGTCCACCTTGCAGCCTTCCTCAGCACGCTCTCTAACGTTAACTGAGTTAACCCTGAAGGACTAGTTGTTGGGCTCGAAGAACCCTGCACACTGTGGTGACCCTACATAGGGGAACAAAGTGAAAATAATTTTGAGCCAAAACTTTTGGTAATAAGTAATTGAGTACAATTTCTTAATAAGTTCATATATTTTCTGAATAAAGCAAAAAGTATATATATATAAATAAATTATAGATACATATATTTTACTTTATTCAGCAATAAAAATATGAGAAACTAAAACCAGCAATGCAAATTGGTATAAATCACTTGCTAAGATGCCCTGTTATGCGGTATCTGGTCAGGGTAAGGCATATTTTTTACCTCTGAGTAACAAGAGAACATTTAAAAAATGCTTATATATATTCATTCCAAAGAATGTCTAAAAGAAGAGGATCCTAAGAAGTTACCTAAAACATTTAAGAATTGTATACTCTGACTTCCTAATAAGCTAACTTCACGGGAAGAGAAAGAATTAGAATTTATGGTATTTAGCTTATTTAAGCAGGGAAATGCTACTCTAGAAACAAGAGGGTGTATCAAAGTATTTTTGCCTTATATTATTGTAGGGCAGTTTTTTTGTTCAAGAGCGACAGACAATAGAATATGTTTTGCGAAATATTTTTCGTACATAAAATTTCAATTATAGAAAGTATTTTTTTTACCAGATATGAAAGTCATTAAGTACAATTATTTGAAAAGCTGAAAGTGAAAACTAGAAGCATTTTACAAGTGTGTAGTTCTGGGATTATCCCTAGGAAAGCAAAAGTTTAAATTTTTAATATCTGAGAAAGAAGAAATTGCAAACATAAAATCAATGGCCATGAAAGTAAACAGTGGAAATGAGAAATATAGCGCTATTTCAGTTGGTAGATTTTTCTGCTATTGAATAATAAATTTAAAGAAAAAAACTAATGTGATCATTGCTTATACTTGCCATGGTAAATTTTCCCAATTTGACTCACCTATTTAAATATATAATAAATAAATGGATGTTAAAATGGTGAACTTAGAACAGAAAAAAATCCAATAAAAGCAGAGTACATTTTAAAGACATTATTTGATGTCTGACAATGTATATCTTACATTCAGTGGCAGTAAGCTATTCTCCGACCCTTCCATTTATAGTCCCACAGAACCAAACATCCAGTTGTTTCCAAAGTTTGGCATTTTTAAACAAAATAACTGAGTGACTGACTAAACTGTCCAGTTTCTTCCTGAATGTTTGGTCATCATACACACCCAACACAATGACCACTATCTAGGGTGAAATTTCCCTTTCAGTAGACGTGAAGTATGTGTAAAGGTGAGAGAGCCTGCTCTAGGCTGGGCACAGGACAAGAGAGGAATTTATCAAACCTTTTAAGTAGAAGGGACCTATCTGTCTGGGTGTCTTTCATTGTTCTGCCTCTCATCCTTTCTTCTTCATCATACCTAGGGTTAGGCATTACTCTAGGTACTGCAGATGCGGTAATAGACCAGAACATAATGCCTGCCAGCCTGGGACTTTATCCTGAAGGCAATAAGGAGTCATTGAGTGATTTGACTCACGGGAATGCCACAATGGCACAGAATAGAAGGCATGGGTGTGAGTTTGTATGGAGAGTTTGTAGGGTATGTGGAGTGTTTCTGGAGATAGTAGAAAGGGAGGCCAATCAGAAGCCTACTAGATTATTATTAGAAATGCTGAAGTGGCCGTGTTAAGGCAATGGTGGTGGTGACAGAGAGGCCGGGCTGAGTTGAGAGTTCTGTGGAAGGCAGAGTACGTTGTACTTAGTGACCCTGGAAAGCTCCTACATGGAGTCTGAGGGCCCCAATCCTGTCATGCTATGATTTTTCCTTCTTGTGGGAAGTAGTTGGGATTAGCAGACAACCGGGCTCTCAAGAAATGTACACTCAGGTCTTAGAACCTCTCCGAAGTTCTAACTCGCCTAATTATAGTAAAGAATGAGAACTGTGGAGTGTTTAAGGATCTTTTATGAACATTTCTTCTTGGTACTCATTCTCAGCCTAAATTTTCTTTGTCTATGCTGGCTTGATTTCTGATACATATATTTCTTTATAAATGATTTTTATAAATGAAAAATTAATGAAATTTCTTTTTCAGAGTCCCAGGTAGGATAAAGAAAAGATGGTGATTGGGTGTCAATCCATAGGCCCTTACTTTATTTCCAACTGAAAAAATAAGAAGGGTGAGACTATTTCTGCCCTTGTAACAGTTTGGCATGGTCTCAGCGGCAGGCACTGGGCAATTTTCTTTGCTGTACACCACTTACTGAGTGCATTTGTCCCTCACCACCCTTCTGGGAACCCTGAGGATGAGCATATTGTTGAAGAAACCTGCCTAAGGGCAGAAAACTGGAAAGAGTGCCAGAGATCTAAAAAATGCCAGTGTTCTAAATTACTAGAGAATGGAGTGGTGACTGTTGCAATTTTGGTTTTGTAGAGACAAAAAAAGAATAAAAGTTTAGTCTTGTCTAGAGAAGGTAAACAGAGAATAGAGCAAACATCCCCCACGTCTTAGTTCTAAGAAGGTACTGGTGGAACTAGGATGGATTTCTTTTTAATTCAGTCTGGCTGCTAGACAGTGCTCTTTTTCTCCAGCTTTTTTTTTTTTTTTAATTCCAATTTTCTTTCCTATTATTGTTATATACGAGTGACAGTGGGATTTCCGTGACCAAAAGACTCTCTACTCATTCATTTCCATCACATTTTCAAAATTAAAACCAAAAATGTGTACTGTGGATTTAAAACAGATTAGCCCTAAACATAGATTTAAGTCGAAAAGGTATAATTTGATTCTTTAGGCCAGAGTCTCTGGATCACTTTGGGATTACATTTTGTATATGACATAGGCAGAAATTTAGAAGCTTTTGCAATAAACATTAATTCAATAAATATTTATGAAGCTCCTGCTATGTGTAAGGCATTTTCTAGGCATTACATAAGATACACAGGTAAGAACAAAGTGGACATTGCCCTCAAGAGGCATAAAGGCATAAAGGAGAGAGATAGATACTTGCAAGAGTAATAATTTCATAAGGTAGAAGGTAGCAAATGTCATTTAAAAAGTTTCAGATGTGCTATTATGAGAACTGAGGAACGCACAGAAAGCCAGATGTTTGTTATAGCATTTAAAATCACTAAAAATCAATCCATTTGACAGGAAGTCTATTTTTTCCACCTGTGGGTGGGTCAGAGTACAGCCTTTTCTTCCTTCTAGTAGTTTACACAGGCGTAAAATATTCCTTTTTGCTTGGCATGAGTAGTGATTATATATACACAAATATTCATGAGTATGTATATGGACATTCATCTCACATTTTTCCTAAGATATACTCTGTTTTGGAGATGGGCTGAGAAGTAAACAGATTTAGTTATGTTCCCTGGTGAGCATTCTCTTGGTTGAATCGCATTTCCAAGGAAATAAATTTCTATGCTATTTTAAATACTATATGGAAAGGACAAGTAACTGGGAAGCCGCACAGGGCACAAAAGGCTTGCTTACCTTGGCTGTCCCAGAACCACTAATTCTGGTTTATCCCAGATTCTGAAAGGTGGATTAGGATAAATGAGAAAGGCAAGATGATATATTAATATTTTGACTTAAGTTGGGTCAGTTTCTCTTTTAGAGAGGAAATAAATGGAGAATAAAAAACAGTATAGTATTTATTATGAGTGGCGCGTTGGTAAAACCCTAGTCCTTTCTTTAGTAATGGTTTTCCTTCACTAAAATAAATGATATAGGTATAGATGATGTTTATTGATCTCACATATGTAACTCATTTAGGTTCACCACGCTTTTGGATTAATTCTTTTTCTATATAACATATACATTTCTTATATTCATAAGAAGTTAGCTTACAAAGATCTGATTGAAAAATAACCACTTTTTTCCCTTTGGTTTATGATTTAGCTACTGAAAACCTGTACAGCAATTCGATATAATTTGTCAGAGTAGTAAAGAAATTGTCATGCCATTTTCACATTCCAATAATCTGTTCATCTGTTTCTCAGAAGAACAAATACAAAATGCTTTTGATTTAACTTAATATATTTTTTAAAGTCTCAAATCTCTTGAACCGTTTGTCTTCTCGGCTCAGAAACATTTGTTTGTTAAATATTCAATCACGCCCCAGTGCCAGGAACATCAATAGAATTTGCCTGATTAACTGTAGCACAGCATATGTACACTGAAGATGAGAATGATTTCCCCAAGGAGCCAGCACTTCCTCTGTTGAACTACATTCTTAAAAGGACATGCAGATGGGCATTTGGACAATAATTTCTGGATGTGCAAAATGGATTGCTCTTGCTGAGTTATAATTTTAAAAAGATAATTTTAATGACTCTTGAGGGCCACCTACTTGGAGCAGATGGGACCCAAGCTCTTTGTTATCACAACTTTAATGTTGAGTGAGTCAGGAGAGAATTCTTTTTTAGCCTTTGTAAAAGTGGATGAACATATTTATTAATATTTCAATTTATTTTTTAATTCAGTCCACTGTGAAAAATGTCTTATATAACATTCTTAAAAGTTCTGTAACAAAACACATCTGCTTTATGCCAAACACACTTTTGATGGCAGTTTTGAATTTGTGATCGAGATCGAGTCAGCAGGAGTTTTTACTTTTGCCCACTATTTTAGTGACTAAATGTGTGAACTAACAGCACCTTTTAGCTGGACAACAACACTAGCAGACAATAGGGATGATGTAGGTATATACTTCTGTTGTCAACTCAAGAGCACGGTTATTTGGACAAACATAGCTAAAGACATTAGTCATAAAAGAATAAAAAAATAATTTCTTCTTTGATAATAACAAGATTGACCATTCAAATGTATCTTAAATGTCTTTACTAACAATCATCACCAAGAAGTATTTCTTCTTCTACTTCTTCAATTTTATAAGCAACCATTGAAGTAAACAGTTCTCTCTAACCTGCAGCATACTTGATATTAAAAGCGGTTGGGCAAATTATTTTTGTAAGCATTTTTACCGGGAGCCAATGATGTTTCAGAGACGAATCACAGTAGAAGTTACAGGGACTGTGTGGGATGGGCAAGCATCGTCAGGTGAATATTTGGGGAAAATGAGGCTCCTTTAATTGTTCAAGACAAAAACATTTTTCTATAAATTAGACTTCATGTCCTTTTAAATGATAACAGTTTAAAGATTTCTTGTGAAAACTCCTATCCACAACCAAATATTTACCTGCAAGATGTTTATCTTTTAGCAAAAGTGGAAGAATGTTATTCTAAGCAGGCAAGAATTTTATAAGCTTCTTTAACTGCCTATAACAATGAAGAGCCAAGTCACAAGAACCAAGGGGCCTGTGACTTTTCCAGAGAAGAACAGACTTCAAAAGATAATAATAAAGATACGTAGTGTGAACAGCTTAAACGAATTACTCACACAAAATAAATACTAAATTTGCCTGGAAGGTTTAGAGAGTAAGTTATGTTGTAATTCATAACATATAGGAATAAAAATGCAAAGCAATATATTCAAAATAGAGTCCTTACATTTTTTTCTCAACACACAACTTGACATTTAAAAGTTTTTCAATGCCACACATAAGCAGAAGGAGCCTTATGTGGAATAAATATCCTTTCTGTTGTGTGTTTGTAAGTGTGTGTGAGAAAGTAATTCAAAATCATTAGTCAAGTATGTAGGGGTGAGTGGCTTATGGTGTAACCCAGAAATATATGCCATCAGGAAAAAAATGAAATGAAATAGCTTAACTATTATGTGCTAAAAAATACCTTGAAAGCCACAATACCAGGAAAGCTGAGAGAAAGTACTAAAATGGTCATTTTAATTTGTTGTTTGTAAATTTGTCCCTGATAAACCTCCACAGAGTTAGATAGAGAGAAGATCTGGAAGTTTCCTAGCTAATTTGAACACTACAGGTAGTCAGTCCACATAATTCATGTCAAAATATGCATAATTTTTGGCTCAAATGTTCCAATTTGGACTGTTATACAAGACAAATTACCTGGCCTTGTAAATATCTACTTTAGTATGTGATACACAGCCAGAGTTTGGGAGAAAAATGACAGCATTTCTAGATGAAAAATAAATTAGGGGAGTAATAAAATATTAATATAAAGCTAACTATTTCAAGTTGCAAACTAGGTGTATATACTTGAAGCCATGTTGAGAACAATGGCATAAAATACAAAATAGAGATTATAATAGTAACATGCTCTTTTTCCTTTCAAATGTTGCAACAGTGTGAAAGCCACTCTGTTTTAATAGCTTTCCTAAAATAATTCATTTTAATGGTAGTCTTGATTTTGCAGCTCACCACAAAAATATTTCCATTGTGCGCTTTTCAAAGAAGAACAACTTCAAAATTAATTGAGTATCAGGAATATTAGTATATATGGCTGCCTAGGGAATAAAATATATAGTAAAGCAAAGATAAAGATAAGAGCATATGCAAAAAAAAATCATACTTTTGAGGCTCTTACATTAATTAAGATCTCAGATGTGAATTAATTATTAGGAACTTAAATTACAAAGACAATGTATCACTGAAAGCTTATTTTAATTAGACTTTACCATTGTATGTGTACTTTAACTATGATCATAACATGATTTGATTTTGCCTAGTTTAAGTCCTGAACACATCTAATTTCCCTTTTAAAAATACTCAATGGTCTAACACCAAATAAAGTCTTTTAACTACAAGTTATAAACTTCAAGCATAATAAGTAATGCAATTGTTACTCATTCGTCTACCATTATTTACAACATGACATTATGTTTTCCTTAAGTATAAATGTTACTCTAAGGATATAATATTCTAAAAGAATGCAAGTAATAATAAGGATGCCTAAAACAACTAAAGAGATTTTTCTTCAAAGCATATATGTAAATAAACATTTTAAATATGTAATCCAATTTCCCATTGGTTTATACAAATAATAAACAGGAGAAGTAATCCTATAGGAAAAGAACTTACAAAATACCCCCAAACAAACCAATTTGATAAAGGATCATTACAAATTCTAGAACTTGTTTAGTCTGACGTTTTTGTCGGTCATATTTTTGTATTTTAGTTTGTATCTTGTTTTTACCTCTAACAGCAACCCCCAAAGTTTGCATAATATGGCTAGGTTTCTGTCCCTCTTTCTGGCTGCCATTCTTAGCAGGCTCCAACTACATGTGGGCCAGGGCAGGTATTTGCAATGAGATGGTCCCACTACAGACTCCAGCCATATGCTACTAGTCATTGTGATGGTCACGGAACAGGGGTGACCAGATAGCTATGCCAGTCAGAGCTTGGGAAATGCATCATAAATTTATTTTCAACTTCACGTAGTTGGCAATAAGTATATGTCTGCATAATACACGTTGAAGGATGCCAGAAGTAGAGTAGCAAAAGAAAGTACATAAAATAACAAATTAAAATATTCACAAGTAGTATTCATCATTTTCCCATGAAGCTTTATTGCTTCTTCTCAAAGCTGATCTTTCATATAGATGGACAAGGTAAGTCCCTCACGTGGTGTCATTTAAAGGGCAGTTTCCCCATAATACTTCCCTCAAAGTTTTTCAGAGAACTACCATTTTGCACCTGCCATGAAATTTCCATCATTACAGTAATGCTTTTGGGTTAGGTAAGAAGGATGGTGCTGTGAATATGGGAAGGGGATGGGTCTATCCCATTATTCAAGTGCCATGTATTAATTTGTCAGATTAGCCAACTAATACTGTAGAGAAATTGATGACTGGGATGGAGGCAAGACCAGACGCTGAAGACAGATGTCCATTTTACAGTTTTTACAGCTTAATGTTATTGAGGGTAAACGGGACAAAGACGTCCACAGCAACATTTAAAATGCTGGCATCAAATGTACTATTTATGCAATAAAAGGTTTGTAGTAGGTTTATGTTTGGCATGACTAATTGCTTCATCACACTCAGAAGCAAGGAAATTATGGAAGAAGGATCTCCCCATGCACTTTGCTACAGAAACTCATTAAAAGTTGCAAAAAACCATAATTACTGCCTGAACAATCTCACCATATTCTCGACTGGCTCTGAAGTTAGAAGCTATGGACTTAATCTACATCCCACTGTCCAAAGGGGGATTCTTGATCAGTTATAGTTATTAAAAAATATTTACTTGTAAGCATACACAAAAAGTTTTTCTAATTATTTCTATAACTTCTACATAGAAATGATTTCTATAATTTTACTAAGCCATAACTTGACTGTAAATCTGCTTTTAAAAAAAGTTTTTCTAGAAAATAAAATGCCCATCATTAAAGAATAAAGCTAAAGAAATTTCACAAACTCATTTCATATGAGGAAAAAAGAGTTATCATAATGTATTGAGTTTTAAACAAATGTTTCAGAACTATATTCAGTTTGACTTTTAATAAGCTTTTAAAAACTTTTTATGAATTTACTAATTTATAAGATATATTAGTAGTCTAAATCATTGCAAACAGAAAACCTCCTGTAAGGCAAGTCCCAGCACTAATCCATGATTCATTATCTAAACTTTAATTGGCACAACTCTTGAAATTCTGGGACCATATGGAAAATAATGAGTCCTAATAGGTCTAAGGTGAAAAGATGGCAGGGGAGCAAGGAAGCCAGAAAACCGTCAATTCAGAATGCTTAGCAACTGCTACACTATTTCCCCAGAGACCTAGAACAATGTGTTCTCAATGTTTTACTGGTCTTGCTATCGTACAACTAAACTGCATATTACTTCTTATTCTGTGAGACAAAGATTAAAATGAAAAAACAAAAACAAACCAAAAACTAGTTTCCGTAATTAAAAATGAAATTGGCTGACTGTTAATAAAAAAAAGGCAGCGATTTAGAGTTACCATAACAACCTGAGGCAACTGTTGACTGACACTGCAATCTGCTGCATTTTTATAAATAGCAGTTGATTTCCCCTCTTTCATTTCAACTAGGTTTAGTGCTTACTGATACTAATGGAACAATTGTGCTTTAAAACGACTTCACTCATCAAGCAGTGTACCTCTTCGCTGCTATCACCGCCATAAAAATCCTCTTCCAACTGGGTGTCACTCCTTGTTACACTGGCATCCTCTTTCAGATCCAAAATAAACGAGCACCCCTCTGGGGACATATTCTGAGTCTTTCCATGAGGTGCTGATCGTGGTCTTGACGAAAAAGTGAAAATGTCCTTTGGAACAATCTGGATTTCCTCTGCTTGTTGGTCATGTTCACTTTCCTTGCTAGCTTCTCGCCACAGGTGTGAAGTCTGGCAGGAGTCATCATCCAGAAGTAAACATTGTCTGCTGTATGCCAAATGGGCAATGTGATCATCATTTTCAGGAAATATCCACTCATCTGATATGTGGAAAAGACGATAAAAATTAGATTAGTGTTCCATAAGTATTATTGTAGGCAGGTAGTTAGGTTAAAATTTCTTGCTGTTGAAACAGGGATTTATCAAATAATGCAAAAGCTAAGGAAGGTAATTTATCCACCACCTTGTACCCTGCTAAACATTTAAGCCATAGACCAGTGCCTGTAGCTGTGGGCAACTCATTTGCTCTTCCTCTCCAACGGAGTTGAAACACTGGCCAGGAAATTTTTGAGTCTGAAATAATTATCACTTATCTTGCAGTAAGTTCTTTATAGCACAGCCTCATTAATTTGATACTCAAGAGGGGGAAAATCTTCCAAATTTAAAAGGGTTTGAGTTATTAGTATCTTCTTTTAACAGAGGACAGGAGGAGGACAGAATGCTTAACAAATACTGGACAAGCTTCTCTAAACAAAATATCTGGGCATTTTTCGGATTATAAATCATAGAGGAATGGAAACCATGAAAAGGCTACAGTCTTTTTCTCTCCATTTTATTGACTGAAACAGGACAATTCACAGACTAAACTGAGTAGGCTTTTCAAGTAAAAGTGAATCCACAGAAATATTTGTTAATATGACTGGTGAATTCCACTGGTGAAAAAGACCTCTACCTTAATTTTAGGAGAGAATGTTTTGATATGAAAATTTTTTTGCATTATTTATTTTCTTTAAAAATACTGTCTACTCCCATTGAGATACAATTTTATCAAAACTTTTGAAAATTTTAATCTTTTATTCAACATTGAGATAGATAACTCTATGATCCAGGCAAACTGGAAAGGACAAATCTTGATACTGAATATCATTAAAAGCATGCTTACTTTCTTCTTTAGAACGAAAGCAGGAAAAAGTTGAATATTTTCTCAACTTAGTCTATTTTTCTTGAAATTTACTTTTTTGCTGCATTATGTCAATGGAGAAAATCTTACAAGAATCTGTGTTCTGCAGAACCACAATGTAGACGTGTTAATTTTGCCCCTGACTCTTGAATCCTACTATATATTACTTTACAAGAAAAGTAACCGTGAGATATCTGAGATTTGCCAACTTGAAACTCTAAAGCCGATAATGCAAAAGCACAAGCAACAAACAAAAAGGCCTTTAATAAAGATAACATTGATGACACAAATAAAATTGTATTCATCACAATTGTATTCATCTGTTTTTTAACCTAAGACTATCATTATATAATACAACTTGCCTATAAAAAGGCAATAAACGTACGTTTCTTAGAGAAAATCTATTAGGGACAAGGCTTTCACATTTCCAGGGACAGAGTCTGTAGATAAACGGCCAATGGCAGACTGAATCGACTTCATCTGACCAACTTCACAGAGGATGTGGAAGGTCCTGAGTCAGTACAGCTGTAGGCAGGTGAAACGAATAGATTCACTGGGCTGTCCTCTTTCAGACAGCATCCTTTTGCATGGTGCTAAGCACATAACAAGTGTTCTATAAACACAGTAGGTACTTTAATAAATGTTGAAAAAGGTCACAAAAACCAATATGTTGCATTATGTACATGGATATGTAAAGAAAATTGGAGGAAAAGATACTGGGAATCTTCATCATGCAATTAAACAACGTGTATGACCTATTGCCAAACATATTATTAACTGTCAAAAAGTCAAAGGAGTGTTTTTACACCAAATGAGCTCTAATTATCTCACTACCACATGCTTTTTTGGAATCTGTAGTTTTACCTCAAGTATTTCCATATCAATTGTAATGAACAATTTGGTGTGTTTTCTCAGGAAAATATGTAAATTACTGTGTAATCACAATATTGCAGCAAACAAGATAAATGCAAGAATGATCACCTAAACATCTAATTAGTTTTTCTACATAGTCAGATTTATGCTAGAGACACTAATTGCACCTAACATTTTAATGAAGGTTTCAACATTGCATAAATAAGACTGACAAACTACAAACAATTTTCATTTATTTTCCTTTTTCCCTTGCTCAAAAACAATTTGCCTTTGTAAAAGTACCACACACCTGCTATGCAAGATATGTTGATGGGTTCAACGCTCTACATTCCAACCATCTCTGTTACAAAGAGGACTGGAGAAACGCAACAAGAGATAATCTTTGGGGAGGATGACAATGTCATGTGAAAACTTCAAAGTTTTAAACTTTTATTCTGAACAGGACAACTGGTGCATTAAAAGTTGAAAATAAAAATACTCTTTCATCCATTAAAGTTTGACAGAAAATTGAGATTAAAAGGAGATTTAGAAAAAAATGATAGATTTTAGCAAATGACTGCATCACGACTTTACAAAATGACCAGGCTTGAAATGTTTAACATATTTATGTTTTATTAATTATTAACAATTATGGTATAATAAAGGTGCCAACCTGCTTGATCAGGAGACTGGGGTGCCGGAGTGCTGGAGTGCAATGTCTCTGTCCTTTGTTGGGACACAGAGGTGAGGGCAGCTGTTGCTTTCTCGTCATTCCTGTTATTCCCTGGAGAACTGCCTTCATTGGAAGAAACATTTTCCACTATATTACTTCTTTTGATATTTATAAAAATTAATTTTTGAAGATTGGTATTAATACGGCATACTTTTCTATATGATTATTGAAAAGTAAGTCAGAGATGACAATATATATTATACGCAGTTTTTTTCTTTCTCAGTCGAATGTTTTAAGATGAACTCTGCTGCGTTTTTATAGAAGTTCATCTTAAAATCTCTTGATATTTGCATAGGGACAGTTTGCATTTAAGTTTTACAATAAGTGATAAAAGGAATTCCAAAACCCATATAATTTTTAAAGGGCTCTATATTTTTTCCTTTGGTTCCACACAAAATGAAGTGTGTTTTCTTTAAATTACAATTCTCACTGAACTTGACTCCTTTAAACCAGTTCTTTCCTTCAGCACCTTAAGAAAGTGACAACAGGCATTACTGCAGAATTAATTTTTCTATCTACTATTTTATAAAAATCACATGAAACTCAGCAAGCTGAATTTCGCCCTATCCAAGAACCCTACATTTTTGAGAAATTATGCTGACAGATGTGTGCATTATACACGGTAGGCTTGATTCAGGATAGACAAATGCATGTGTATACACATCTGTACATACATGCCTCAAGTCCAAAATTGAAAGGAATAGTTATAACAGCCACCTATATTGGTGTGATGCTTTACTGGTTGCAACGACTTGAAATTTTAATCCGCATTATATATCAGATGGCAAGGAGTCCAAAGGGAGAGAGAGCAAATGTGAAAACAATCTGAAAATGGCCCAATTTAAAAAGAGGAGACAAAAATGAAATATGAAAAATTATGAGTTAAGTTCAATTTTAGTAAAGTCTTCAGGCAGGAACTTCCTCTATCAAATTTGGGCAGTTTTAAAAAAACAATAATTTAAGCCTTTGAGAGTAGAAGGAGGAAGTCTTTTATTTCTGTGGTACTGTCTATTTAATCCAGCAAATCTCCATGAGGGCTCTAGAGCAATTCTTTTGCAGAAAATTTGATTTCCATAATCCCTGTAGAACACACATTTATATTTTAAATGAATTGGTTCATAATCCTTTGAAATTTACAACCTGCAGAGAGAGATTCCATTGCTCTGAATAATATACAGATATAAGATAGCATTGAATTAGAGCCATACCGCTGGGTGTCTCTGTCCTTTCTCTGCTGATGCTTTTTAACCGTAATCTTCTCCTGTTATTATTCTTATCTGTTGATGGTTCTTGAGGGGGATGTGGATGCATAACATGCAGATTGGCTGGTACATTTTCATATCAAAGAACAAAAAGCCAGAACAGAAAGTACTATATGGTTTGAAATAACTCAGTAAATATAATTATAGCTATAATGAGAATGTTCATGTATCATTTTGACATCATGTAAAGCTGTACCCAAAACACAATTTATTCCTTCATAGGAAATAGATGGTTATTCCTATTCCAATATTAGGATTGTATCAGGCTTTCAAAATTACTAATAGATTTTATTTATGTGATATAACTCTACAGAGAGCTACAAGTAATTTGCTTAATACAACATGCTATATTAAAAAATATAAAAAATGAAATTGACAGCCAATACAGAAGAATTATTTCTTCCCCTAAAAGAGGAAGTGTAGCTAAGTATGACTTAACGAGAGCTTAGACAGTAGTTTCTAAAAGAATCCTGGAGAGCTGAGTAAAACCTAAAGAATTCTCAAGTGTAATTTAATTCTGTGATAATAATAATAATAGCAGTAATAAATATTTACTGAATGATTAATTTCTTGACACAATATGATGTGCTTGACTGATTATTCTCATTGAGTCCTCACAATGACCCTTTAAGGCAACTGTTATTTACTGCTTCTACTAGTGCCAGTAGTAATTACATCCTCATTTTACAGATGAGGAAACTGAGGCTCACAGGGTTTAAGAAACTTGAGCAAGGTCTCACAGATAGTTGTAGAGCCTGGACTGAATATCTATGTTATGTTATTCATTTCCTTCGCTCAGTTTTATACTCCATGGGAGATACAGTCTGGAATAGTGATCATTAATTTCTAAATCAGATAAAACGAACCCAAATGCCCCCCTTTTTAACTCTCACAAAAGTCAGACCAGTAAGAGTGGAAAAACTGACAGGGAGTGGTAAGCTTTGGGTTCTGGTTTCAATTCCTTGCAGTGATTACAAACTGCAAATCACTTTTTCTCTCAGTCTTGAACTCTAAATCTATAAAATGGGACAAAGTCTTCTCTTCACCAACAGGGTTGTTTTTGTATTAATGAGGGAAAACAAAGAGCACTTTACAAATGGAAGAGATTAATTAAAAAATAAAATTAAGAAAACTTAAAAAGCACATGGAGTTTCCAAAAGATAGTGATAATAGGATGCTCTATTATTTCCTCACCAGTCATCATCAAGTAAAAGTACAGAGTACCATAGCAATTTGAAATAATGGAATAAATAGAACAATAGGTTACAGAAGATTATGTATGTATGAGAATTCTAAACATATTTCAATATCCACCACTCTTTTCATATTTAAATGATACTTATCTGAACTTAAGATCTAGTCAAGAATATCACTTTGGATTTATCTTAACAAGAACATTTCTCACCATTTTCACTAGCTATCAATCCTTATGCATGATTCTTACCATGAATAGGCACAGTCTGTTTTATTTGACGAATATTTTCCTTATCTCCTTGCTCCTCAGACTCAGATACCAGCAAGGTTGACATTTCTCTACTGTTAACACAATTCTCTCTCATAGACTGTCGGCAAGATTGGTTATTTTTGGAACCAACAGATCTTATTGTCTATAAAGAAAAGAAATTAATCTGTACATTTCAAAATATAGGAGTTGCATTTATTTCCTGAAGACTCTACATAAAAGAAATACTATTTAGGCAAATAAACAGTGAGAAAAAAAAACTAGAGGAAATGAGATGGTTAAAAATTTGGTGGAGAGGGAAGTTGTGGTAGAAAATTAGAAAGAAATGGAAGGAGAAATATAATGTGAGATAAAATAGAAGACAAGCAAGTCTCTTAGACACATAAATTAAAATGTGCTTATTTGCAACACTCCATCTTTAGTAGGTAGAAGTTGAACTGAAAATCACTGTGTATGTCAGAAATTCAGAGGAAATTAAAAATAAAAATATAACATTTGAGAGTCTGTTCATTGTAAGGTATCTGGTGATGATCCAACTTCTTTTTGAAGGAGACCACAAAATGTGCTCATATATATTTGCCTTTAAGTTTGTGAACATATTTAATGAAAAGAATGCTCAAAAATGTTAATTGTGTTGACATGACAAAAAGGAAACAGTTTTGAAGTCTTTGAAAATCCAGAATTTCTGTTCTAAATTTACTCACGCCTTCTGCTTTTGGCATGTGGTCCCTCTCTGTCTTTTACTCCCCCCTGCACTGGGAAAAAACTCTTCCTTTCCCATGCCACTCATGCTTAGATAAGCTGTTCAAAGCTTGCTCCTACCTCACTGGACAGCCTCATGTTATTTCTTCTGCCAGAGAGTGGAGGTGGTCCAAGAACTTTGGATCCAAAGGCGATATGACAAACATCTTGACTTTTACCGTTCCGCACACTGCCTGTTCCTCTGTTAATGAACTGATCTGTTTTGTTAAAGGAAGGTAATAATAGTCCATTAATGGGTGTAACAATAAACACTATGTTGCAATATTTCTGAAAGTACAATCCAGGTGTCGTATGATCCAAATCTTCCCCTCCCCTCACAGGGCACTTATTAAAAATGTAGACACTGGGGCCCAACATCAGATCTATCAGATGTGTAGAACTAGAGTTTGTGGGAGGGTAGGGGGCCGGGCAGCAGAATTCTATAATTTTAACAAGTTCACCTAAGTGGTTCTAATGCTCACTATCATTCCAGAACCACTACAAATGTTTTTCCTCAAAAAAAAAAGAGGAAAGAAAAGCTACTAAAAATACATCTTATTTTCTCATTAAGGAAATAATTTAAACAGAATTATTTAACTCAGTTGAACAAATATCTGATTGAGCACTCTCTCGGACATTTCCTAGAGGTCATCAGTGACACAAGCTAGATAAGACATGTTGCTTGCCCTCAAGGAGTCTGGAAGGAGGTGATAGTACAAGTAAACAGGTAACTATAACATAAGGCAGACCAGTGGAAGTGAAGAATACCTTGAATGACTGGTAAGATTTCAAGAATGAGAGGTAGGGTGGCCTAGGCAGAAGAAAGTGCCTGGATAAAGGTATGGAAGAGTGAAAGGGTAGGGTATGCTTAGGGAATAAGGAAATTACCAATTTAGCTGGAATAGGCTAGGGTCACACTGAAAAAAAGCCTTAAGATGCTATAAAGCCTATTCTGAATTTGGTAGGCAACAGGAAATCCCTGAAGATTTGGGGGAGAAAGAGAACAAACTGGTATCACCTCCAGGATAAAGCAGGTGTGCTTGCCAACCCTTGTTTCCTTTTCCTTCTGGGTATACAGCTAAATTACATTTCTGAGCCTTTCCTGCAGTTATATGGGTCACGTGACTAAGTTCTGGTTAACAGAACATGAGAAGTGGAATGTGAGAAGTGTAAACCACTTTCTGGCCCCAAAAACCTCCTGCATAATCCCCTATGCTCTCTCTTCCCTTATGTCTTGACAAGATGCAGGATATCCAGGGGAGGACCTTAAGGCCCCCAGAGGAGCCACTAAATGAAAGGAGCCTGGGTCTCTGAATGACCATATGGAAGACTGCCCAAGGGACTCCTGACTAGACCAGGACTGTGGGGTTCTTTGTGACTGCAGGTAGGCTCCTCTGACTAAAATAGCAGGTGAGGGTGATGGCCCTTAACTCAAAACACTGCCCACAAGCTAGAAAGCCTTCTGCTGAGCCCCACTTACAAGACAGGACCAACTTGAACATTATGATGTTGGCCCTGAGTAAGGCCACATTTGTCCTATGGTCCTGAACATATGTGAGCCACTGGCCACTTCCTGTCTGACCTATTCCCCTGAAAAAATTCCTATAGTCAGCTAATTGGTCTCATGAGCCTCTGCTTTAGAGCTGTAATTCTCCATGTGGTAGAGTTGAAAACCACTCCTAGGCAACAGTATGAGGACTACTGATTTTATTCTCAAACGTGGATTTTCCCAGAAACAAACAGCCACTGAGGATCCTGAAGGGCTGTATGGGAATTGGCATAGGCCTACATGGGAATTTTCAGTATCAGAATAGTAGCCTTTTTTTTACTTGCAGTCATGGCAAACATTCAGCTGTGGGCATATCTTTCTGTTCAAACATCTTACAGGGGCAACTTCCTTGATGTTTTTTCATATTCTTTATCTATATGCAAGTCTCCCCCCCAATCAATTTAAGTTTCTTTGAGTAGAAAGACTATTTATTTCATACTGCATGTACCCCCATCTGCTGAGCTCAGCATAGCACATGTAGACAATGGATAAATCTCACCAAAATTGTGGATAGTATCCAAGATTTAAAAGGAGGATTTTTTTGGAGGGGATGGGGTATTTAAAAAGTCACACTGACACAATCCAGCTATAACTCCAACAAAATGAGCATATTAACTAGTTCATAGCTATTTAAAAAATTAAACTTCCTAAATACCTTGAATTTCTTAGAGGAATCTCTTGCTTAGCAGTGGATATACAGTGACTACTAAGATATACCTAAATTTGATATGATATACTCCCCTAAATCACAGAAAATTAGATGTTATTCTATATTACATAAGAGGATCTACTACAGCATCTCCTTAAAGAGTACTCTATCACTGTATTTAAATTAAATCTATTTTTAAAATATTACAAATTTTAGTAACACTTTTTCCCCAAAACAAAGTATACCAATACTCCATTATTTAGTATCTCTTTAATTAACATATCTCTTTAAACTTGTTAGCACAATTAACACACACATATTTTTAAAGCCTGTTTCACTGTAATAATTCTCTGTTTATAAACATACTAACTAACATAATTATCTCTATAAACCTGTATCATGCTATGTATCTAATATAATAGGGTCCTAATTAAAATGTACAATGAAAAATAATTTAGACCTTTAGTTTCTAAAATAAAAGGTAGAAGAGACAAAGTTTCTATAATGAGGAAAATCTTAATAAAAGAAAACTACAAGCAGAAATGCATGCCTTTTGAATTCTAAATGGAACTCTTTTAAGAGCTGATATCAATGTGCATAATATAAGGTTAAAAATCAAGGTTAGATTAAAGTCATCCTCTAGGCATTTCGTTTTCTTGAGTTTGAGGAAAATGAACTTGGTGTAGGTCAGAGATGTTACCATTAATTATTTTGCTATTTTACTGAGGGGTACACGCCTTTGTAGTTAAATTATAAAACCTGAGGGTCTACTTTTAACTGTCTTTTTGAAAAATAAACATTCATTTTTGTCTCAAGATACAATGTTCTAATTATTATAGTCATTTAAGTTTGCAGGGTTTTCAAAGTTTAACCAGAAAAACCTGCTGAATTTTCAACTCTAATCATTGAGGGGTCATGCTCAAGACTTACATCTATTAGCTAACAATCAAATCAGAATTAAACCTGCTACCAGAATCCAGACTTTGAATTGGGTTAATTTTTATTTTATTATAGGTGCATTGTATAAAGAATGCCAAAAATACAAAAAAGGCTGATCTAGTAGAGCAATATTATTTTAGACAAGGTACTTAACCTTTCTAAGCCTCACTTTTCCTTCATAAGATTGAGATAATCATAGTGCTTCAGTTGTGGCATTTTTGTTAGATTCTATGAAACAATGCATGTAACATGCTAAGTATTGTGCTTAGTAGGGAGTAAATGCTTAGTTAATATGTTATTAGTATCTTTCATCTGGAATAGCATTTAACACTTTACAAAGTCCATTCGCAATCATTTATCCCCTCATTCACTCATTCTTTCAGTAGTGACTGGGCACCTAGTCTGAGCAGCCACCACTCTAGACACCAAGTAAGACAGGGAAGGAGGTGGACACATCACTTCCTTCAAGGAGCTCACAGTCTCACGGGGTAGAGAGATATTAAAGTAAATAATTCAATAAATAACTACATGATTACAATTGTGATAAGAGCTATGAAGGAAAAGTTCAAAGGGTTATAAGTGTGTTTAATGGGGCTGGTATCTAGTCTTTGGGGTCTGGGAAATGACATTCAACTTGAGATCTAAAGGATGATGGATAACGATGATGCACGTATGATCTCTATGCAGTGTCCAATCACTTTGTGTGATATTATTTCATCTTCACAGATGAATAAACTGAGGCTCATGATATTTAGAGATCTATCCACACAAAGTAGGCAGGGGCAGAACCCAAGTGTCCCAAGGCCTCTTTGTGCCTTCTTTTCCCCATGCATAATGCTGTCCTTGGTGGGCCAGGAAGCCACCCAGGGGATTCTTCCCACAGCCACTCTTTATTTTCTGTGCAGTTTTGTGAAGCCATCTAACTAAAAACTTTTGTTTTGTTAACTGAAAAGTGGGTCTATTAATGATTATATAGATAAGTATCAGAACTTCATGAACACGGTAATTAATGTATTTGATGAAGAATAATGGGGTTTATGAGGAATCAAGTATAAAACGTAATACTGTAATATCCTTTTTCAGAGGGAATAAAGTGGGGGAGGAAGGGACAAACTGAAGTGGTTTCAATGCCAGGCAAGTAACACATATGTGACAGATACATGTAGTATGTAGGGGGAACTGTGGCTAATTTAAGAATGCATGTCTTGTGCAAAGTATCTTAATTAAAAACATTTTTTACACCAGTTGGAGGACTGTCAGTCTGTAAACCCCGGAAGCATGATGAAAAGACAAGTGGCTAGGTAAATGTCTAAAGAAGGAAAGGCCCTAGGTGATTAAAATCGGTCTTCAACTTTTGCAAATAATTAAAGCCAGTTCTTAGCCTTATCTCATTAACAAAAAGTTTAAGACGTTTTCGAAAGGCAATAAGCTAGTATTAAAAACTAAAATTAGAATCTCTCTTTCTCCTCTGAACTCAAGCAGAACCTCAGACAATGTAAAAATACCATCTCTGTGTAAAGTTAGGATATGATAACAAGATAAAAAGTAATAAAGCACAAGATATTACTTTTCTTCACAAATTCTTAATTTATTAAAATTTGTAATTAGGCTAGTTTTTATTCTTTACTATTAATGAATAAAGAAACCTTTTTAGGGAAACAATTTTATCTCAAGAAAACTTTCCATTTTGAATAAAGAGTACAGCTTATATATAATTATAATACAGGCCTTGTAGATAATTTCCATCATTTGGGCCTGGAAATAGGACAGTTTCCTGTAACATGAGAAAGCTTTCCAGAAGATAATCCTTAAAACTAGTAGTGAGAAACTGCCTAATGGGAGTCAGTACTTAAGAATGCATCTCCAAGGGGCCGGCCCCGTGGCGCAGTGGTTAAGTGTGCACGTTCCCCTTCGGTGGCCTGGGGTTCACTGGTTCGGATCCTGGGTTCGGACATGACACTGCTTGGCAAGCCATGCTGTGGTAGGCGTCCCACATATAAAGTGGAGGAAGATGGACACAGATGTTAGCTCAGGGTCAGTCTTCCTCAGCAAAAAGAGGAGGATTGGCAGCAGATGTTAGC